ACACACACACACATATATGTATATATATATATATACACTCAGGTGCACACGCACGCATACTCACACGCACACCCGGCTGGCAAGCCCATGCACACCAAGTCCTAATTGTGCGCCCATGGACGCAGTCGTACGGTCGCGGGACACATGCACACACCCACGCACGCACAAATGCACGCACCGGAAGGCACGCACAACCATGCCCGCTAATACGCACGCGCACGAACACAGCCGCACGTATACTAATAAATAAATTATCAACAGCTATATGTGACACCACTATACATTACAACCAGTTTTGAAAAAACAACAACATTTCAGCTAGATAATTTTATACCGAGCCACTTTACACTCGACGATTTCTCTAGAGCATAAATAAACCTTCACTGGTTTCTAGTATCAGAATAGCGAAGGATGGCTGAATGCTGGCTTCCATACACGCGCACGCTGGTCACGTACGCGCACTGTCTAATGGATGTTTGGAAGCAATGCTACTGATTAGGACGCCAGGACACGCTACCACACACAATAAACACGTACTTTATAACACACTTCTTCTTGCGCTACGACATGCACGCAACCACACACAGTAAACACATAAAATTATAAGCGCGATGTAACACACACCTTCTCAGGCTCTATTATATTACATTGAACCACGGCGGAGTGGGAGGTATATTACATTGAACCACGGCGGAGTGGGAGGTATATTACATTGAACCACGGGGGAGTGGGAGGTATATTACATTGAACCACGGCGGTAGATGGATTTACACAAAGCGAGATCTCCAGTTCTCCCAGGTGTGTGTGCACTTCTCTTGTGTGCCTTCAAACCGACAGCAAACGCATTGGCAACCATGGAAACGCGGGTTTATCGATGAAATGCCACTATCACGTGCGTTTGATGACTTTTAATTCAAAATGCTCGATTGTCGCGAATAAAACACATTAACCTTCGTGCCAATTTAATAGTGGTTCCATTAAATATCAAACACATGAGTCAATCAATAACGTTACCGAGTTGGTATTTGTGAACTACCTATTATAACCCGTCTCTGTCACGTCTCTGCATGTACCCGAATTAGTATAATGATTGAAGCTAATATACTGCTACAACGCTACTTAATACAACTACTTACTCACATATAATTACTAAAAAAAAATTATACTTCTTATACACTACGGATAATTGCCTGATTAAGCTTAATTTATGTTTGTTTGTTTTTAATGGCTGCCGTACCATGCGTTGTCGTACTGCGTAAGGCAGCTTCGTGGATGAACACATACACCGATAATATTAAGCCTATTCAGCCAAAACTGAGCGCTAGATTTGGATTTTACACCAAATTCGTTATCACATTATTTGGTTTTGATTTAGAGCAGAAGCAAAACGCCTTTGCCTTGGTCATCCTGTTCGGAAGGTTGAGAGGTAATTACTGTTAGCAGATAAACAGATCCCCCACATACGCACCAGATAAACAGATCACCCACATACGCACCAGATAAATAGATCACCACAGCATATATCTGATACACGGGATTCATGCGCATGTACAAAACGTGTCTAAAAGTAATCCGTAAAAAGCATCTAACCAGTTATTATATATCTCGATATATTGTTAATATTGAATAATAATAAAAATTAAAAATGCTTTTACTGACACACACACACGCACACACACACACACACACACACACACACACACAC